CGGGGCCCCCCCCCCTACAGACACAAGCGCCCAAGTTCTCGGTATAAGCTCGAAAGCCTGTCTCTCGCCAGTAGGTCCCAGAAAGCAAAGGTAGCGCTGGGCTTGTCTCGCTGAGACTGACATGGGGCAAGTCATTGCTTTGCCTAGGGGCGGGGAGCCGGGGTGCGCTGGGGGGGTAAGAGTGGCGTAGGAGAGGAGATGGGATAAAGGGCAAGAGAAACCGCCTAGCAGACAGGTCTGGGGGGGCAGCTAAGCAGCTCCTGCGGGCCAGACCTGGGCGATTTAAGGAAGAAGCTGAATGCTAAGTAGCAGAGTTTGGACCAGTCTGTTCCCAGCACTGAGCCGAGAGCGGTTGGCTCCGAGGACTCAGACAGGGTCAGATCTGTCGTCTCCCCCCTGCATTCCAGACCACGGCACGTCCGGCCGCCTCAGGCGCAGCCCTGTGCTTTGCTGCATTGGGGCAGACTTGCAGTTTGCAGCGTGGATCCCAGAATGGGAGATTCTGCACAATCCCCCCCGCCAGAAATGCCTGTGACTAGCCGAGAGGAGTGTCACTCGCTGCACGGCTAGCGCTACCGGTCTGCTCATGGGTGCTTGGCGGGGGCGTCCGGGAGCGCCTCAGCTGCCCCGGTGGCACAGGAAGCAGCAACGCAGTGGTGGGCGCACGGTGGGGAGGTGCAAGGCTTAGGGAACCCTGGGACCAGGCCTTGGTCTCAGAAGCCGGGGGAGCAGCCTGGCAGGGCTGTCTCAGGAGCCAAGAGCCAGGCCCCTGGTTCGGAAATCCTGGGCTTGGCGGAACATGCAAAGAAACCGCCCGGGCTCCTTTTACCAGTCGCTGGCCTTAGGAACCGTCAGGGCTCAGCTGGGCCCCTGTTCAAGCTCCTAGAAACATTTCCAAAGCCACCCCAGGTTCTCCCCGGCCACCGGGCTGGGGCGCTAAGATCGCTCAGTGTCACTGAGTCACGAGCAGGGACCTGCGTGGGAGGGGCTGGCTCTGCACTCTGGGAAGGGGCGGAGCCTCAGGCAGAGGGGGCGGGGCCAGGGCAGCCTGCCCTCTGTGCTGCCCCCAGCCCGGAGAGCCACCCGGAGTCCGGCTGTAATTAACGGGCTCATGGCTCCGCCACCGCCACAGAAGCAGCATCAGCAACAGGGG